GTGCGTCTTGTTGATGATGTCGACATTGGACAGGAAGTGATCGCCAGGAAATCGGGCATGCTCCTGTTCCCCGTAGCCGTGTCGCGGCGGCGTCTGTTCAAAGAGCTCGCGGTCCTTGACCTTGAGCAACTGAATGATTCGATTGACGGTCATTTCCTTCCCTCCTTCTTTCGCCTGCGATTCGAGGCGAAAGTCATAGGCCAAGGCCTTTTCGCGCGTCTGCAGCTGTTTTCTCTGCGCCTCATAGTCCTCGACGTCGGCAAAACTCGTGCTCCTCCGGCCATGGCGCATGCGCCTGTCGAGGACGGTCCTGGTCTGGAACGCAGAGCTCTTGTGCTCGGCGTTGTAGAGGCGCTTGTTGATGACGGCCTCCTGCGCGTCGACCATGACGGAGTCGGCTTCCATGTCGCGGCCGTCGATGGACACGGAGGCGCGTGGGTAATACTGGTGGGAGCTGGTGCTAGGCTTCTTGACGAGCCTGGAGGGATTCCGCCTGTGATGGTTTTCATTTCCACAGTCGCCCAGCGGAAGGTTGTCTTCTTTGTCGGGGTTGGAGCAGAAGATGCCCATCAGTCTCCGCTTGAGCATATGACAAACACGCGGCCGCTTTCCTGTGAGAGGGCGTTGAACAAAGGGCGTGGGCGGGGGCAGCTGGACGAGGGGCAACTGCGGTTGTGTATTGACATAGACACAATCGAGGCTATGCTCGTGATGTTTGCGGTCTCCAATGCCTTTGTAGGGTATGTCGAATGTCGAGGCTGCTGCCTTGGGAGGGGTGGCTTTTGGATGCTCCTTCCACAGCAAGTGAAGCAGTCTGTAGAGGAGAATAGAGCAATCCTCAATGGATTGAGGACTGGGGTCGGATCAAGGCGGGCACACATGAAGAGTGGGTGATGAACTGCCACAGTGCCATAGGTCGATGCAGAATCTGTACAAGAAGGTACGAGCATTGACGGGCCAGATGACAGAGAGTCCCAGTTCAGGTCGGTCAGGTCGTTGCGACGCACGATCGCAAAGGTGGGGTGAAATGAAGGTGAGGATGAGGTGAGCGAGAGCGCGTGCCGGTTCCCGCTGCTGTGAGCAGGCTGACCACTTCGAGCGTGGTAGGGTAGGTACCTTGGTAGGCAAGACCAAGTAGTGATGGTACCTCGTGTACGCGGGCGGCACAGCCAACAGAATGGGTATACCCAAGCTCGCCCGGTTCAGAGCGGTGTTGCTTGAGCAGCCAGCCTCATGACTCTGGGCTAAGCAGAGGGCTTTGGGCTAAGCAGAGGGCTTTGGGCTAAGCAGAGGGCTTTGGGCTAAGCTGAGGGCTTTGGGAGAAGGATAGGTACCCAGCTCTACCTAGGTATGCCATCATAGCAGGCAAGTCATTTCGCGCGCGCTGGCAGCGGCTGAGCGGGCTGGGGTTGGCTGGCTGCCGTACCCAGGTACCTGGCAAGGTACCTCTGAGTACATGCTAGGTACTTGCCCATCATGGCTACCCTGACAACCACAGCACCACGCGCAGGGGCCGATGGGATCCTGTGCCACTTCCCGGCATGAGGCAGGTAGATGCATACCATTCTTAGGTAATCCTCAAGTACCTTACCTAGGTACCTACCTAACCTACCTACCTGCCCCAGGGTTACACTCGAAGGCTGAGGCCTCGTGAGGTCTTCCCTACGTTGGCCATCCTTTACCAGTTGGCCATGTGGCCCTCTGTTTCAACCCTTCTGTGCCACTCGAGCGAATACATCCGTCGCTTCTATCGCATGACATGGTCCAACTCATCCCCTACCTTTGGCGCATGAAACAACTCGAACCGGCGCCGGCTGGAAGCCCTGCCTGCTGCTGCTTTATCCCAAGCTCAGGCTGGAGCGGGCGTGACCAAGAAGTGGCCGTCCCTTTGCCATGTCAACAGACTGTCTGGCAGCAACACGATGCGGTACCGATCGACCATGATTTCTTCGACGTGGACGGGATGGACGCGGCCACTTGTGTATCGTGAGGGTTTTCAGCGCCGTCCCCGGCCTCGTATCCGTCATCTGAGTCGACGAAGCCATCGACATCATCACCAGAGACACCTGGATTATGCATTTGCTGCTTCAGGCCTTAAAGCATTAACACCATGGCGTACTCAATGCCTCGAGGAAGTCGATATCGGCTCGACTTCGATATCGGCTCGACCTCGATATCGGCTCGACCTCGATATCGGCTCGACCTCGATCTCCGGCTCTTGTCATCTCCTTCCCTCAGTAAGGTACCTAGCTTGTACTTGACAGACATCAGCATTATTAACGCACTGGACAACCTTCGCCTTCAACCCCCGAAGCACAACCACTTAGCATGAAATTCTGCGACGCCCTTGGATGTTGCCGCTGTACTTTACAGTAGACACATGGTAAAATGGCCATGTCATCCAACCCGCAAAAGAGTCTGGTGGAAGATGGAACTCATCTTAACGACTTCTGTAAGTTAATTCGAGCTGTTACGCAAGTAGAGCAGAATGACTTCCATGGACCGGGCAGCTTGAGCGTCGCAACATGGTACGTCCAACATCGGCAAGCCGAGCCTAAAATGACTTCCGAAAAAGATGGACCAGTCTTTGCCCTGATACTGACCCTATCAAGTGAGAGCTGGTCAGGTGTATCCCACAATAGGAGCTTAGACAGGGGGTGATTCATTCGAGTGTCGTGGACGACTACCATGGGTATTTCACCGCCCATTCAATGACGGACATCTTCTGCCCAAGATGCGCCCAAAAACAAAACTGGCTGGGCGTCTCAAATGTCCGGCCAGCTCATCCAGATCACCTCCACTGGCTGCATCTGTATGTATCAGGTTGCACTCGGGCGCATCCTAAGGCTTTCTCGTATGCTTCAACACTTCGACAGTTATCCCAGCATTGTCATGTTTACCCGCATTCAATGTCAGCTTCGTCCAGATCTCACACGTCTTTGTGGCCCTTTACCCCGGTACCCTTGTCGCAGCTTGTCCCGTCCAGCAGCATTGTTCTTCGACTTCTGCACCGCCTCAGCACAACCAGTCGACCCTGCAGCGACCTGGTGGGCCTGGCTTCGACTGCGCCGCCCTCTGCCTTGCAGCATGGTGCGGCTCGGTTATGAGCGATATCATGTCAGAAAATGGAGGCGCGCCGTCGGCTTCAACTACGCGCGCTGCATTGTTGAATTATCAGCATCTGCCGACTCTCATCGCTGTTCTTCCCCCACTCTCTCGCGAGATGCCACAGGCTCTTCGGACAGGCGTTCTTCGCTAACGGTAACTTTTGCGCTGATCGAAGTCAAGGAAAGCGAAACATTGACGCCTCTTTTCCTGACTTAGACTTGAGTGTCGTCAAGTGGCCACCCTGTCAAGTTGTCTCCGATGGCGTCTTGTTGCAGAATCAATATTGTGATCATGCATTGGCATATCTGATGCTCATGCGCCCGCAGGCCTCACGGTATCCAGGTTCAGGGCGTTGATAAGCGGCAAGATCTAGTGATCTGTCGAGGTCCTTCACCTACACGTCGGTCGGACGTTGACATCACAGTTTCGGCCCTAGTGAACAGTTCCTCGGGATCTTCCCCACACCAATCCGAGGTCTAGCTAACGCTTGCGAACCCAGCGGAGTATTTCAATATTCAGGGCCATCGATTCTACGCCGCGGGAACGTGGCCGTGCTTTCTGATGGTGCATCGCGTTGCCGACGGCAAGCAAGGTCCCTCAACTGGGACGCGTTCAGGCTCGCTACTCCTGGGTACTGACAGATACCAACGCGCCTTGAACCTTGCTTCTGGCGATCTTCTGCCCTGCACGTTAAAAGTTCCTTGTTCAAAGTGGTGGGAACGAAATGGTCCTTAGCCGTCGGCAGGTTCACAATGTCGTCCTGGGCACAAGCCTCGTGGCATTGACAACATACCTAATGCGGCGCAGTCTTCGATATGTCGAGCTATTCCACTTTCCAAACAGAACAGGCAAACGGACCTGTACTCTGACTGGTATTGCTGTATAAGGCCTCGTCTTCTTGTAAGGAAACCCATGTCTGCTTTCCTGGCCCAGCAAAACCCCATAATCAAAGATCAAATCATTCGGGCGGCCTCACTCAAAGGTTACAAAAGTTCTTTCGTCCCTATCTGACATGTGCATGGTACGCAGCACTGTTGCTCAATGGCGGAGGCTTTCCCTTTCCAGGTCATTTCAATCTGGCAAGGATCCCTGTGCCCAGGTATGGCATGGCTCATGATCAACACGGCCCTTAAGTGTGGAAAAGACGACACAGATAGCCCACTTCTCTACCACGAAGCATGGAATAGTGCGATTGGCGGCAGAAAATGTGGCAGACTTGTGACCAAGACGCGGACACAGCTCATACGAATACTCAAGACGATCATGGCGGGGAACCAGGGGTGCGTGAGGGGAAAACAGCTGCTTATATTGCGATGCAACCTTGTTTCGCACGCCATGTCAGGCCATGTGTGGCAGCATCCTAGCGACAGCATGGTATTCTGGTAACCGTAGACCTCGGCCAACCTTCGACAACGGTTGTGTACACAGATGGAGCCATCGACTCGACTTTACCCAGAAACACCCCTGGTCACTTCTGCAGCAAACCTGGCAATGAATGGCTCACAAGAGCTACATTTATTGTCTACTTCCTCGGCTAACTATGGGAACCCCGTAGTTATCCTGCCGATGCTGACGTTCAACCGATGGCCTACCATCGGGGGGTTGTAGCGATGGATTGGAAATACGGCTCGCTGCGACATTTCTAGCTACGATGCCTGCAATGCCAAGCTGGCTATATTCGCCCGCCAGCCAGTGTGATGATTTGGTACCTGGTCATCCCCGCTTGACTTTCTTCAGCTGTTCCGACGTGATGTAGTGTATAAGAGGATGTCTGTTCCAGAGTCCGCGTCTCCAAGTCCTGCTGGGCCCGTACACACACTATCGCCAACTTGTAACGCACGGCATCAAGAAACATGACGAAACCCATGTCTTTGCCGTTGGTCATTGCCACAATGGCATGTGGCGCCATCGGCGCTCTTGCTATGAGCATCCCGGTGTCCGTTGAACATTCCAAGATCCTTCACCAGGCCCGAGACGTGCAGGATGAGTATGACTACATCATAGTCGGCGGAGGCACCTCCGGACTGACTGTCGCTGATCGACTGACTGAGAGCGGGGAACGTACGTTTTGGCAATCTCGGGAGGGGAAAGCAGACATCATGGCTGACGTTGATTCTGTCTAGATACCGTGTTGGTCATCGAGCTCGGTGTCATCGGTGCGTTGGGCCGAAGCCTTCACTGCCGCATCCTCTAACATTCAGTCTTCTAGCAAATGGCAGCTCTGTCAATAACGTGTCCGGCGGCGCCCAGGCGTTCTTCAACGCTTCTCTCACATTCAACTTTCCCTCTGAACCACAAGTCAATCTTGGCGGCCGCACCGTCGGCGTCGTCGGCGGTGTTCTCCTCGGCGGCTCGTCCGGTGTCAATGGTTTCCAGGTCCACCGACCGCAGAAGGCAGACATCAACCGATGGGGATCTTACTTTGGCAAATGTTCGGACTGGAGCTGGGAGAACCTCCTGCCGTATTTCAAAAAGGTGAGCCAGTCTCGGAGATGGGGCCGTCAAGTGCCGCCGCTGATGATAGCAGGCCTGGCAGCTTCACCCGCCGTCCGAAGAGACCGTTGAAGAATTTGGCATCAGATACGACGAAAGCTACTGGGGAACTGATGGTGGGATCCACGCCATGTTTCCGTCCTTCAATTGGCCTTTCTTGAGTGAGTATCATTCTGAACTGCAACACCGCAGGTGCTTATGTTTCTTGCAGAGAATCAGATGGAAGCCTACGAAGAGATTGAGGGGGTCGAGTTCCCTGTTGACTCTGGCGCCGGCGAGCCGGGTGCATTCTGGTACCCTCACTCGGCAAACCCTGAGCAGGTGACGAGGTCGTTCGCATTGAGCGAGCACTGGACCGGTAAGGCGACTGTGCTCGATAATTATGAGACTGTGCTCGGGCAGAGAGTTTTGCGCGTGCTTTTTGAAGACAAAGTGGCCGTAGGTGTCGAGTACGTCGCTGCTGGTGCTATCAATGCTTCGGGAGCACGCGTTGTGAGTGCTCGAAAGGAGGTTATCGTCGCTGCTGGCACGATTCATACCCCTCAGATCCTGGAGGCGAGTGGCATAGGAGGTCGTGCCCTCTTGGAAGAAGCGGGGATTGACGTCGTCGCTGACCTGCCTGGTAAGTCGTCCCAGAAAGAAGTTGGGCGAGTTAAGGTCGTGACTGACGATATCTTAAGGGGTCGGTGCCAACTTCCAGGATCACCCCCTGGGCGGAGGCGCATCATTCACTTGTGAGTAACTCTGGTCTAGTATGACGCCCTGACATCTGTCTGACAGTCATGAGTTACGAACTGGGATTTTCATCCTGATTCTAGTGACCTTCAGACGAACGAGACATTCCGTGCTGAAGCAGAAGCCGAATTCGCAGAGAGTCGTACAGGTGAGATAATCCAAAGTTCTACTCCAGTTACAACAGACCAGTACTGACTTACATCGCTAGGCCCCCTGACTATCGCTTCTGGCAACGCAGCCTCTTTCCTCCCCTTTTCCGTGATCGCCCCCTCCACCTTTGAAGCCATTGCCTCAGCCTACGAAGCCCAGGACCCTGCGGCGTATCTACCTGCCAACTCGGACCCTACCCTCATCGCCGGCTACGCCGCGCAAAAGACGCGTTTCGCCGCGGCCCTCCGCGCGAAAGACGCAGCCTTCTACAACCTCTTCCTCCGCGGCACCAACACAGAGGGCTCCTCCATCGTCTTCCTCCACCCCCTCTCGCGCGGCACCGTCCACATCAACACGGCAGACCCCTTCTTCGCCCAGCCGCGGGTCGACTACCGCGCCCTCTCGAACCCCACCGACCTCGACATCCAGGTCGAGTTTGTCAAGTTTTCGCGACGCTACTTTCTCGAGACGAGCCTCGCCGAGTTCGGACCGGTCGAGGTGTCGCCTGGCGCCAACGTCACGTCCGACGAGGCGTTGCGGGAGGCGCTGCGGGGGCTCATCAGCCCGACGTGCTTCCACCCCGTCGGCACGGCGGCCATGTTGCCGCGAGAGCTGGGCGGCGTCGTCGACGAGAAGCTCCTGGTGTACGGCGTCGAGAAGCTGAGCGTTATCGATGCGAGCGTGCAGCCTGATCTGCCGGGGGCGTATACGCAGCAGCCTGTGTATGCGATTGCCGAGAAGGTGAGATTACTCTTTTTCTTTTGGTTTCGCAGCCGCCATGGGACATGACTGTTTACTGACGAGACTGCAGGCCGCGGATCTGATCAAGGCCCGGGCTTGAGAAGCGGGAATTGTTCGATCGCGCTAGACGTTGATCTTGACTTTGGGTCAGTTATGAGGGATCAGGCAGGGTTAAGGCCGAACACGCTGTCGACAGATGATCGAGGAGAAAGCGACTTCAAAGCCGGGTGCAAGGTATCCTATGTAATCGATTTCTACCCAACAGCTCTGAAAGCTTAGCCGTCCTCTACTCTATCTTCTCCCTTTTTTGCACCCGATAACATCCCCGTTACTACCGTTTGTGAGACCCCTCCAACGCCTGGTGCTGACAGTCCCGGAACCCCAAATTGGAAAAAGAAAAAAATGGCAAAAGAGTAACGAGCACCTGGCTTACTCGTCAAACTTGACGCCGCCGCGACCGCCAATGTCAATCATGCCGCCGCGGTAGCTGCCCTTCTTCTTCTTGTTCTTCTCCTTGGTGAAGCCCTTGCCCTTGGTGACGATGAGGTCGGCGTGGGCGCGGTCGCTGTAGTCGTTGGGGACGTAGTCGTTGGAGGCGAAGCGGGGATCGACGTAGGTCGACTCCTTGATGCGGGAGAAGGGGACGTTCCTGCCCTTTTGGTTGTTCATGTTGCCGCGGCCGCGGTTGTTGAGGGTGCTGGGGTCGGGGGGCAGGGGCGGGGCCTGGAAGTCGGGCGAGGTCTTGTTGTCGAGGGTGACGGACGAGTCAGAAGGGGCGTCCTCGACGGCGGCCTTCTTCGCCTTGGTCTTTTCCTTCTTGGTGGCAGCCTCGTCGTCGGACGAGTCGGAGTCGGAAGAAGAAGAGGAGGAGGATGACGAGTCAGAGTCGGACTCGGGCAGGGGCACCTTGGCAGCGGCGGAACCGTCATCGGAGCTGGAGTCGCTGCTGTCCGAGTCCGAGTCCGAGTCTGAGTCTGAGTCCGAAGAGGAGGAGTCGCTGTCGCTGCTCTCGCTGCTGCTGCTGCTGCTCTCGTCGCTGCTCTCAGCCTTCTTCGTGGTCTTCTTGCCCCTCTTGGCCTTGGCCTTCGCCTTGGCAGCCTTGCCCTCGTTCTCGCTGTCGGAATCAGAGGAGCTGTCCGACCCAGAGCTGGAGCTCGAGTCCGAGGACTCCGAAGAGCTGGCAGCCTTGGCCGTCTTCAGCTTCTTCGCGGTAGGGCGCTTCTTGTCGGATTCGGAGTCGGAATCGGAAGAGTCCGAGTCAGACGAGTCACTGCTGTCTGAAGCAGGAGCCTTGCGCTTCAGGTTGACGACGGGAACAGCAATCCTGGGAGCGGGCTCATCGTTGCTCTCGCTGCCGCTGTCGCTGTCGGAGCTGCTCGAGTCGGAGTCGGAGCTGGAGTCGGAGCTCGACTCGGCGGCGGCAGCGTCAGCCATGTCGACATCCTCCTCGGAGCTCGAATCGCTGCTGCTGCTGCTCCCGCTCTCGCTCTCGCTCTCGCCGGAGCTGGAGCTGACGTTCTGCACCACCGTCTCGGTGATGGTGACGGGCTCGCCCTCGGGGGTGCTCAGCGACGTCTCCCAGGTCTGGAAGACGCTGACGAGGTTGTGGCGGTGCTTCTTGGTGGCATGCTTGGACTTGGACGACTTCTTGCCGTGCTGCTTCTTGAAGGCCACGTGGGCGGACGGAGCGTGCTCGGAGAGGAAGTTCTCGACAAGATCCATGAGCTCGGCGGGCGGAGCGGCAGGCGCGGCGACCTTCTTGCCCTTCTTGTCCTTCTTATCAGTCTTGGCCATGGTGACGGTGGGCTGCTGCTCGCTCTTGGGCGCAGTGGTTTTGACCGAGTTGTTTGAAAAGAGCCAAGCGGGTGGCTTGTTCGACATGTGTTGTGGTAGTTGAGAGTGCGGTGGGTGGATGGCCAGGCACTTGCATCAACCTAGGGTTGGTGTGGTGGATTGAAGCAAGAGCAATAGTTGCGATCCTCGACAGGGAGTTTTTTTTTTTTCTTCCCTACCTAGGTAGGTACTGGGAGCACTGATCAGGTTGTCGCCCGATTCGAAGACGCCAGCCTCGATTGACCAATTTTTTTTTCGAGACAGACCCCGGCCCCGCCAAGGGTCTTATCTTATCAAGATCCGCAACCTCTACAGGCACGATACGTATACTTGTATAGGCCAGACAGGACCTGCACATGGCTTGATCATCTTGCCCAACTCAAAGGCTATTGCTATGGTATCTCCTACAGCGTCACCGAGACAGTTATAAGCCAAGTACACTAGTATGCTTGCAAGCACATCCATAGCCGGCTAACTCCAGATCCTGTGAAGTGAGCACCGTTCTGCAAGAAGGACAATCGCATACGCCTTTCCCCCAAGGACGAAACCAGAACCACTGCTTGCAACTACCAGCTCACCATGGCATCGTCAGGAGAAGCACTCTGTTGCACCATCACCATAGACCTCGGGTCCAGACCTGCACCGCCAAGTCCCTCCATGCACCCATACAGTCAACCCCTGCTGGTATCATCAGCTCCAGCCCAGACGTCGCCGCCAAAGTGTTCCACCCTCAGCATTGCGTCAACCCCAACAGGCATAGTGGATGAGCAGCCTTGCGCAACACAGGCGATGGAGGCGTCGACCCAGGTTGAGGTTGTCAAAGAAGCCTCCTCCATGCATGGCGTGGCCGACAAGAAATAGCACAGCAGCAGCCGCCCAGGTCTGGAGCCCGAAATGTCACAAAGCCAATAGGGATCCCTGGAGTACCTTATAATGACCATGTTGCTTTCATGGACCGTGGGTAATTGAAGTACCAACTGCAATGGAGAGTAGCAACTGCTATAGACTTGATGGTCACTGGCACTCAGATCTCACATCTCATGTATCGAGGCCCGTGCATCGTATCCCTGTGTGCGCGCCCATGCACAAGTCCAAGTACTCTTGGTACTGTAAACAAAGGTCCCACCATAGCTTTTAGTACAATCCATCCCCAATACATCACCAGCTCTCCTTTCACCTGATCCGCATCCTGGTCGCCATCATTTCCCCCAGCCGTCGTGCCGACACGGACGGGCATCAGCCACCTACCTTACGATGAACGCAACCAAAAGAAAGTTCAACTCCTTGATTCAGGGCATCGGCAGCCGGTCGTCGACACCTGCCAACGACATCGGCACCACCTCCAACGATGCAGCACCTTCCGCCTCCCCTCGACCTACCTCTCTCGCCTCCTCCCTCCACACCTCACCAGCGACCATGGCCGTCGAAGAAGACCTGCTGCAAAAACGACGGCGTCTGCAGGCGCTGACCGACAAGCGCGCCGCCGCAACGAACACGATCAAGTCCCTCGGCGGCACGACCAAGGTCTCGAACATTGTGCTGAAGAAGTGGAACTCGACCAGAGAACCCGCCGACGCGGCCAGGCCGGCCTCCAAGTACGCACCCAACGACCGCGCCGAGCTTCTGAAGAGGCTCGCGACCTTCCAGGAGATCACCGACTGGACGCCCAAGCCCGACCTGGTCAACGAGATCGAGTGGGCCAAGAGGGGGTGGGTGTGCCAGGGCAAGGAGCGCGTGCGCTGCACGCTCTGCAGCAAGGAGCTCCTCGTCAAGCTCACGAAGAAGGAGGTCGACGGCCAGCACGTGCCCGCGCTCGTGTCGTCCGACGTCGAGGAGGCGCTGCAGGAGAAGTATGCCGAGCTTGTCGTGACCGCCCATCAGGAGGACTGCCTGTGGCGGAGGCAAGGATGTGACGGTATGCTGTTGTCCGATGCCTATGGCCCATTGCTTCTCGACTGACTCTCCTTTTTTTGTGCAGACTCATTACTACGACTGTCATTGACGAATGCCAAGGTGAGCCACGAAGCTCTACGGCAGCGGTACGACGAGCTCTGCGCCCGGAAGCCGTTCCTTCCCTATGAATTCAACCTGCGACTCCCCGAAGGCCTCGACATGGACGCCATCCTCTCACAACTACCCGATGACTTTTTCAAGAACCCTGCTCCCAGGCCAGACATGGAACACCCGAACCGCGTCGCCCTCGCCCTCGCCGTCATGGGTTGGCAGGGTCTTTCTAATGCCAGGATCGGCGCCGTGCCCAACTCGGCGTCCTGCCACACGTGCCTGCGCCGACTCGGCCTGTGGATGTTCAAGAGCAAGGAGGTCGGGCCAAGCAACGAAGTGCTCGTCCCCGCGCCCATGGATCACCTAGACCCGGCCAGGGAGCACCGCTTCTTCTGCCCGTGGAAGAACCCCCAGACCCAGCGGTGGAACAGCACCAAACCGTCCTCGGAAAAGGACCTGCCTGCGTGGACGATCTTGACGCAGGTCATCAAGAACGACGCATACCTGCGGGGCGCTTTGGATGACAGGCCAAAAAGCCGCGCGCGACCTAGCACCGCCAAGCACAATACGGACAAGGACGACAACGGTGCGCCCTCTACTCCTGGACGGCCGAGCATAGCCGCGACGACAATTGGCGATCGGGGCGGCGTCTCGTTCGACACCCCGTCTCTGGCCGCGCAGGACGGTGACGAGGAGGATGAGGAGAAGGTACGCGACAAGAAGGACAAGGAGCGGTGGGCTCGTCTGAGGAGAGTCAAGAGCTTGTTTGAGACCAAAAGTGGGAAGAAGTCTCGGAAGTCTCAGAGTCGGCCCGGCACGGGACACTCGACTGCGTCAGCGCTGACAGGGACGGTTCCTGGGGAGGCCACCAAGGAATAAGGGTTCGCCCTGTAATGGGCTACCACAAGCGGGCATTTGTATGTGTACCGTAATCATGGAGTTGAAGGTGGTGCAATGGCCAGGAGAGGTGCTTCAGAAAGCAGAATGCATCATGACATATCGCATAGAATACCCAATTATTTCGTGTCAAATCACAAGCCGTTCACCATCGTGATCTCTGGAGGAAGATATTCATCAGCGACAATTATGCAGTAATACGTCAGGTCTGTCCACTAACTGCATAATATGCATTTTCGCAGAACCTTCTGCCTCGCTTCGCGACTCATCTGAGCCTTCACCTTCACCTTCACTCTAAACTTCGACAACTTGACTTCAAGTTCGCCGAGAGCCCACGAGATGGACACTTAGGTGTTGATTCATTATCTGAAACCATGTTCGGTCGACAAATCATCACTCCACAGCGACTCAGCGCGGCAGGCCGTGGTCTGAGATGGCAACCCCTTTCATCAGAAACCCGCCGCTCATTCACGCCATCTGCGTTTCGATATCCTCGTTTGAGACCAGGCTCTCGAACCTCAACAGTAGTGCGCCACGACCATGTCCAGCCAGCAGAGAAAGTCCCGACCCGTGTCGAGCCAGAAGAGGCCCCCAAAGCAGACACTAGCAGCACACCACCGAAACAGCCAAGACCACGCAGAATCCCCCCTCAACTCACGCAACCCCACGACATCTGGCGCGCTCACTCCATCCACCTCGAACTGCCGCCAGACGCATCAACCATCCCAGTCGACGGAGCCAGCGGCCCCCCAGAGTCCTACTTCTCCAAGACGCCCACCAAACCGAAAGCGCCCCCGGCCCCCGGCACGCTCACCTTTGAGCCGACGCCGACGCCCACCCACGCCCTCGCCTCGAAGCTCCTGACAACCCCGACGCCGACGTTCCTGCACGCCTCGTCGCACCTGCGCAACACGCGGGCCAACTCGGCGCTGCCGGAGATCGCCATCATCGGCGCCTCAAACTGCGGCAAGTCGACGTTTCTCAACGCGGTCGCGCACCGCGCGCACCTGGCGCGCACGTCGGCGCGCGCGGGCCACACGACGACGATGAACACGTACGGCCTCGGCCCGGCGCCTCCGCCGGCGACGCAGGAAGGAACTCCAAAAGCTGACGAAGGAAGTAAGACGTCGGGGTCGGTGGGAGGTAACTATTGATAAAAGGGGGAAGAAAGCCGCATGATAAGGGGGTTAGATAGGGGGTGCTGGAAGGGGAAAAGAAGTCGCATAAAA